CTGCCTAGAGTTCTCCTATCGTTGAGTGACCGAAGAATAGTTCTCTGTCCCGAGCTGCGTGGATAATGACCTCTATATTCCAACCAATGGTTCATGCCCTTGAAGCCTAATCTTGTTCCTTCACTCTGACATGAATCAAAATCTATAATTCTAAGATTTTGTTTCACCACGCATCATGAGGTTGTTGGATTGAGATCATTATGTATGGGTCACGGAGTATGCGTATGTCTAATGACATTCTCAGTTCTCAGTACAACGATCTCTGATTAAAGGGATTGTTGCTTCCTGTAGCTGCTGGTACAAGTCCCAGTGATATTTGACAAATCAGAGACCCATTGCCCTGCTGTTCTTGCTAGCAGCCAAGATATTGAGCAATGCTGGTTATGGTATGGGTCGTGTCGAAGCACCTCGCAGGCTTCCTCAACTAAAATCAATCTAACGGCTTGGTTATGGAGAAGCGGGAGTCTGACCGTAATTTAGAAGGATTAGTTGCTTAACTAATACACAAATCCACTGGTAAAGGGTCAGGAGCGAGTGCGACGAGCACCTCTTAGTGGCTAGAGATTTTCTGTAGCGGTATCATCGAGTTTTAATAGACTGACGTTTTGTTGTTGAAGGTGGTGAGGGTGATGGGCCAGTTGGCTCTGGCATAGTATTCATCAACACTCTGTCGGCAGATAGGTTTTGTGTGATGAAAACAAGATCGCAATTTTGTTCCACAAAGTATTCGCTATGGTCGCCTATTTCCACTGTAAAATATTTGTAAATCCACAAGACGGATTAGCTGGACAGTGATGTGAAACTATCATAATGAATGAGCATGGCTGCCGGCTGTGACATACTGGATTTGTTTGTTCCAGCGCGAATGACGTACAGCAATACGGAATAGATAACGGTGCTTTAACTGTCTTGGACAGTGTTGACTGAAGTGCAGCAATGGCCGCAACCCAGAGCTGTATGTATACTCCGTACATAGAACAGTTGAAGTGCTGTGTAACGGGATCTACCTGACGATAAGAGCTCTCGTTAAAGGTTGAATCGGTGGAGAAGGGGCTTTGGCGCTAGTTCAGGGGCTTGATTTCAAAAATAAAGGCCGGAATTATTGAACTCCGGTATTGAGATTTCCAAGCGGGCTCAGGCCCAGCCAAAACCCAGCCAGAACCCAGTCCCAGCAGGAATCAATAGGGGTGGAGTGGATCTTGACAACCTTCGTGGTACCCACAAGTCAGAACAGAGCGTTCTCGACTTCTCTCGAACAAATTGGCTCTGTCTGTATAGAGAGAGGAGTACAAATCGAGAGAAGCCCCAGAGAGCTCCTCGAACTCCTCATGAGAGTTGGCGCGCTGCTAATATTCTGCGATTGACGCATGAGAGAAGGAAAGTCCATCTTCCATTCTTTAAAGTTGCGTACTTCGTTCTTTTCAAGCGTGCTCGTCACTCGATTGTTGTACCCAGGAGGATGGACCTTATTACGGAGCACAGAGTGAAGAAGGAAGCAGAAAGCTTTATCGCGTCCATTGACCAGTCTGTCATTTGTGACCTGGCATCCTCCTTCCATCCGGCAAAGAAGCAGTGCCGTATCTTCAGCGATGTGAAGAAAGGCGGCTTCAATATTTGTTTTCCTGTTGAGTTTGCCCAGGATGCAGTTGACGACGGCAAACCCCAGCGATGGATGGTGCGCGTTCCTGTCCTGCCGCGCTTGGCTTTCGCAGAGGAAAAGATTCGAGGCGAAATTGCAACAATGAAGTTAGTGGGTTTTCTGTTAATTGATGTGTTGTGTATCTTAACTACGTGTCTGTTCGTTAACATGAGTTAAAACTCCCTTTTAAGGTTCATTGCCGAGAAGACGACAATACCTATCCCGAAGCTGCACGGATATTCAGTAAATTCAAACAATCAGCTTGGTCTCCCATTTCTGTTGCTTGAGTTTATTGAGGGCAAATCTCTATTTACTGTGAAGTTCCGCGAGCTTCCGCGACCACAGAGATGTGAGCTTTTTTCGAAGTTGGGTGACATTTATATCCAGCTGTTCCAGCATAAGTTTGACCGAATCGGTGCTCTTACTCTGGATTCAAAGGATGAAAATTGGGTTTTTGCTCATAACCGACCACTTTCAGTATTGATGAATGACCAGGCCCTTGCCGGAATTGACCCTCCCTTTGTAGAGCCTAATCACACGTTCCAGTCAACCATCGATTATGTTTACACCATTCACCAGGCTTTACTCAATGACTTCCACCAGGGCAGGGACAGCATTATGGATGAGGCGGATGCTCGAGGCTATCTCTACAGCTTGCACATGTCCCGCCGGTTTCTGATGGAGTGGGTGCAGCCTGAGCATAATCATGGGCCATTTATACTGAATCATGGTGATCTGCGGTCTGCTAATATCCTTGTTGACGATGACCTGAATATCCTGTCTGTTTTGGATTGGGAGTGGAGTCACACCATCCCCGTTCAAATGTTTGTGCCTCCATCTTGGCTCGATGGACTTGAACTGGTTGGAACTGCAAAGATGCCTGGGCGACTCATATATGAAAGCGAGCTCTTCAACTTCCGCATGGAAACACGAGAGCGTGAAATAAAATATCATCCCGAATGCCGAACTTTTGATGACCTTCCACTTGAAAAGATATGGGCTAAATCACTTAAATCTCCTGCCGTTTTCATTGCGCTCGGATTGTTGCAGCCACTTTATTTTGGCAATATATACTGGTCCGTGATCGAATACAACTATTATGGGAAAGAAAGGAATAATGACAAGAAAAGATTGGAAGAGTTCTACAGCCTGGAGAACAATGAAAAGGAGCGAGAAGCAAGTGCAGCGGAAACTTCAAGAACTTGATCTTTCGAAAAAGAATGTGATAAGCTCGGAATCCAAAGAGAACGAAAAACCATCAAACAAACAAACCCCCCTCTAGCTGAGACCCCTGTGACTACCAACGTTGATTCTTACGCTCGCTCATCATTGAGCCGTCTGAGAACTAGCATCGAAAACCTTGTTCTAGCGACCTCCCTTCAGGGGAAAACAATGAGCCGTTCGCGCTGGGTATTTATCGGGAGTACGCTTACTGCAGCTTGCTATCTCTTCACAAGGCGTAAGCGAAATTAATTCTACTCCCCAACAAACTGGCGTATTTCGAGGCGTTTACGATGGCGAGAGGAGCTGAATGGATGCCCTAATAATAGCAATTCTCTGCACAGTGCTTTCGAGTTCTTGCTGGTACTGGACTATCTCTTGGTCGATTGAGGCAGTCGTTCCTCTCAAACGGCGTTCACGAGCTTGGCGAGCGCTTGTTGAAAGATTTTCCAATTCTTCACGCCTGCTTTGGAGATCAAATATGAAGCTTCCCAATTGTTCTTGTTGTTTTTGGAATCGTTCGAGTTCTGTTTTCTTTGTTTCTAGTTCAGCCACTATATCTGGGTTTAGGGTTTGCTTTGTTGACATATTTAGAGACTGAACAGCAAGGGTGATTGGCGTACGGTATTAGATTGGTTACAGACTTGGATCATAAAGGGAGATGATTGCAATTTCGAGTTGAATTGAATCGGCGTTTATAGGAAACTAGATCTGGTGGAATGGCCAGCGTTTTTGATCCCAAACACGGAGCAATCCGAATCAATCCTCTTCATCTACCCCGCTCTCAAATCAAATTACGAAATTTAGGCAACAGATACGTTAGGATAGTGGTTATTGATTGGATCCATGAAGGAATATGCAGCACAAGTGCCAATGCACATGGTCGCACGACTGGGCTCTCAGGCCACCACTCTGTGTCGAATCTCGCCATTGTTGGTTTTTACCAGGAACACCTTGGCCTGTCTGACTAGGGTTCTTCCTGACTTCATGATGCCGCCGCCGACCGGGTTCTAGCTGAAACTAAGGCGGAAAAGTTAGTTCCTCATTTTTCCCTGTCCCCTCTTTCTTATGCATCATGTATGGTGTTAACACGCCCAGTACGTACACCCGCATGAAGGAGCCTAGACAATCACTGTTGCTGCATAATGCAGCAGCATTCAAGCCTATTCGACGCAGAACGGCAGAAAAATCACCGATATTATCTTCTGACAACTAACATACTAGCCATCAGCTCGATTTTCTATCGTCAGATGAATGGGATGGTGTGGCTTCCAGGAGAAAACTAATTCTTAACATGGTTGCATTTGTTTTCTTTGGTCCTTCTATTTCATTGTTCATATCTACTGGATGGTGGAGATGTTAACATCACCCCCAAGGTCACAGTTGTGACATTCGCCTGCAGACTGCAAGGAAAATGTACGTATCGTCCCAGCAACCTGTACCACACGGAAACCATTCCTAGCTCTCACCTTAGCACTGGGGGCTTTATGTACAGTACATCCCCGGCAAGGATATGTATATGACTAGAAGGCTGCCGTTTGATATTCTCCCCAGCCTTGCTGGGTCAGCTAAGGAGATGGCTGTGAGAGGAAGGCAACCGCCTATTCTGTTACAAGTTACAACAACACAGGTTATCAAAGCAAGAACTTGGTAAGTTCTATTATCGAAGATTCTGGAATAATATAGAATCTGCAACGTCCCACTATATGAAATCAAGCAATGCCCCACTGATGCTCAGTAATATCTCATGCATATATTTAAGCACAGATTTCCCTATAAATACTGTCTGATTATCATGTAATTATTAAGAGTTAGAATAAGCAATACAATCTAGTTATTTTATTGATATTCAGTATTTGGGGCAATATTCGGACTTACTTAGTTCCGACACAGGTGGTCTTGTTTACGTTTCCCCAAATTTTGCTGGTACATGTACAGTACATATACCGTGCAGGCGACGTTCTCAGACTTGAAGAGGATAATTTTATTTTGTTTTATCCGCCTTTGGCCTGTTCTGTCAACCGACTACCCCTCTCTTGCTGTAGCTGATGGTGGGCGGTGGAAGAAGTCGAGTCACAATCGATCCTGGAATGACCAAGGAACATCCATGTGCGGGCGAGGACACAAACGCCAATTCAATAGTTTCTTTGTTTCCATTAACCAACACAGGTCATCACCGCAAATCAGCATTAATCCTCTTCTCCAGGACGTTTGTGGTTCGCAAGCAGAGATCGATGATCTGAAAGTCCGGCTTCGCAATGCCGAAGGCGATGATTAAAAACTACGACATCAACAGGGGCCAACCCCCACCCTCCTTTCATGGAACTGCCGCTCGAACTGCGGATGCTCAATTGGGAAGACGCATTACCCATGTAGCGTATCTTTCACATGAGTGAATTAGCTCGAAGTCCTGGAGAGTTTAGGCTTGAATGAAATCCATGTTGAAATAAAATACCCCTGGCATCCAAAAAAGGGTGTCTTGCGGTCTTGTGTCTTGATATCGAAAGCTTGATGAACTCAACTCTTTTAAAGACCCAGGATTGATTGATAGCTTTTTTGTGGGCTAGCTTCATGATGTCTGCTTCACATGGCCGTCAAGCTTTCACCTAGAAGTCGTGGATGAATATGCTGAATTTAACATCTTCTTAACTAACTCTAGTGGGAAAATCGACGTAAGGTACTACAATTCTAGCTGGAGCAAAGAGTTCAGACCACTTTCTAACCTTCATACCTGTGATGCCAAAATGGCCTGGTTAGGACAACAAGCTATATAGAGGAGGGAGAAGGAACTCCTCTATCTACCATTCAGCTGGAGTGGAGTAGTAGGCGTATGGGCAGCCTCATCTAAATCCCCTTACTTCGTTTGTCGCCTGAATATCTGGATTGTCAACCGTTAAAAATTTTCTTTTCAGAACGACACTATCTTTTTTTTCCATATGTGAATAGCACAGCATGAACAAAAGACATTGTTACGAAATATTGGTACTGTAAATGTATGTACATGAACATTGACTCACAAACAATGCATCAAACCAGTGAGGGGTATATGAAAGCTCCCAACCAACTGAAAAACGAAAAAAAAGGCGCAAAACCCCGCCAGCTTCCCAAAGCCAAAGAAAACAGTTTGGGTTAATAGTTGAAAAATAATGGAAAAAAAAGTTTTTATTTATCCCATTCCCGACACCGCAAGAAAACGTGCAACAATAGATGGTGAAACTGAAACCCGTTACACCAGCGCAAATCCCAATGCTGCTATAGGAGGTCGAAATCATCCAGTTTCTCACGGTACCGCAGGATGTTCCGCTTGATCTTGCTTGAATCGACCCAAGTGACGAAGTCTTCGAGGTTCCTGTTCACGAGGAAGGCAGGGTCAGTGA